ATATACTTATAAGATCTCGACTTTGGAAGGGGACCAACATAGTCAATAATTATTTCACTCATAATCTCACACTTGTCTAAATCGTATCTCCCTACTTTCGGTGGCTTACTTTGTTTATATGGTTTCCTCTTTTGACACCTTTCACATGACAGAACATATGACTTTATATCTTTTCTCATTTTTGGCCAGTAATATTTACTCCTAATTTTGTTTAGTGTTTTTGAAAAACTGATATGCCCGCTTAATAAACTATCATGATTATCAATTATTACCTGTTTAATAAATTTTGAAGGTAAAGCAAGTGCGTATACAGGGATTTGTCTAATTTTCGTTTTGTAATACAATATATCATTATCTTTTATTTCATAATTGTCGGCCTTATTTAAATAAAACGAATTTGATGAGATAGGGTTTTTAATAGCACCTATAATGTTATTCAAGTACGCATCGTTTGCTTGTTCTACAGCAATATTAATAGGTTGAACAAGATTTATTTTAAAAATATCATTTTTAATATTCGAATTTAAAATATTAATTAGTTCACTTGAACTGGGATAACGCGATAGATGATCCGCGGCCCTATTAAAAATACCTTTTTTATATTTTACTTCAAAATCATAGCCCATTAATTTCGTTCGTATCCTGTTTACAACGTTAGATTCAGTTTTTATGTTCATAAAACTTGTCAAGTTTTTATGATCAGTCCAAACCTCAATCTTCCTACCGTGAACATATTGCCTATAGTGGGTAAACGCGAAATGAATAGCTAAAACCTCGAGTTCCATTGCGGAATAATTGGACTCGGCGGGCGTTAACTTTTTAGACGCGTAAGAGATTGGATGAATTTCGTTATTATCGTCACGTTGTTGAAGTATAACACCTAGACCTAATTTACTAGCATCTGTTACTAGTATAGTTTCCAAATTTACGTTAAAATGCGCGAGGAGTGGAGGTGTCGTAAGTTTAGACTTTAGCTCTTTAAATGCTGTTTCATGTTCAGTTAACCATTTAATTTTTTCATTTTTTGTTTTAAATTTACCCTTAGTGAGATCTGTAAGAGGTTTTGCCAGTTTACTAAAGTTAGGAATAAATTTTCTGAAATAATTGGCAAGTCCTAAAAAACTACGAAGTTGTTTAATAGTGTTAGGGGAAGGGAATTTTTTTACCGATTCAATGCCCTCATCGGTTGGCCTAATGCCTTTCGAATTTATGATATTACCGAGTACTTGTATTTCCTCGTATCCGAATTTACATTTTGATGGCTTCAATTTTAGATTATACTGTCTAAATCTTTGTAATGTTATGTCTAACGAATATAAATATTGATCGAAAGATTTTCCAAAAACTGTGCAATCATCTAAGTAGCAAATATTATTTTTATAAGTAAGACCTCCCATAATTTTGCACATAGCGGCCTGATATATTGCTGGAGCATTATTAAGTCCCATTGGAAGTCTTTTGAATTGAAAATGTCCCGTATCAGTAGAAAAAGCTGTATATTGTCGAGAATTTTTAGATAGTTTGAATTGATAAAAACCACTGGACGCGTCTAATAATGAAAAATAGTGGTTACCAGCTAAGCAGTCATATATATTTTGAATTATCGGCATTGGAAAACTTTCTTTTAATAAAATCGAATTTAATTTTCTATAATCTAAAACCATGTGATACTTCNAATTATCGGCATGGGAAAACTTTCTTTTAATAAAATCGAATTTAATTTTCTATAATCTAAAACCATGCGATACTCCTTAGGGGTGGCCCCTTTTTTGTCACCCTGTGGGAGATTTTTACCTACTAAAAATACCGGATTACTATATGGACTATTTGACGGTTCTATTATGCCGGCCTTTAATAACTCGTTAGTTTGTTTTTCTACCTCGGCCCGTTCTTTAACGCTTAACTTGAAATTCGGTAAATTTATTATTTGATCGCGATTTAATTTTAATTCAATATCTGGTAATTTTACCTCGCCCAAGTCGAATTTAGTCTTTGAAAAAATTTCATTATAATTATTCAACAACGTTTCAAGTTTTTGTTTTTTATCGTGAGATAAAGACGGGTTAATATCGAATTCTACCTTTTGTGAAACGTCTGCTAGAGAAGATGTTGTTTCTTTTTCCGCGAAACATGTTTCGTTAACCTGAGATTCGAAGTGTACGTCTGGTGTTGACGCATCATTTTGTTTGAAGTGTTCGGTAAAATCATAATTTTTTTGTCTGGAGTTTAGAATTTTACGCCTGTCGGCGACTGAAATATTGTCATTAATATGCACAATTGTTTTAATATTAAAATTAACACTAGAATTTTTTACGTATTCTAATGGAGACCAATGACAGTGGGAAAATAAAACAAACACGTTATCTCGATCGAATTCTGTGAATGCGATAACATTTACGTCCGAACAATTGTTATCTTGGGAAAGTACAATTAAATTTTTATTGTAATATGACGCGACGGCTGCTAGATCTTCTGCCTCAAGCCAGACAGGCTGACTTGCAGAATCTACGCCTAGTAATACTTGAATATCATGAAAATTAACATTAATATTTTTATTTTTCAACACCTCTACTAATGTATTTACGCCGCAAAAGCCGTCTCGTGGGATATTTTTTGAAACCTGCATACGCGCCGCTATGGACTCAATAGAAACATTGGTAGAATCTTTGTGTGAAAGAATATGCTTTGCGACATTGCTAGAACTGAATTTTTCAAAGAGTACGGTCACCTGTGTGGTCCGTCAAATAAAATAATTTTCGAATCATACATATCAATATTAACCTTATATTTGTGTAGAAAACTATTACCTAAAAGATTATACCCATTTAAGTTTTTAACGACAGCGCATTCAATAATAAAACTATGCTCACAGAAATTTACTTCAATTGAGGTTGTACCTAATAAATCTAAAGGGGACCCATTTGCTGTAGTAAGGG